CAAGGCGAGCACTTTACCACTTGAGCCACAGCGCCACTTCTGGCTTTTTCTGCTTATGTGGTGCTGAGGAATCGAACCCAGGGTCTCATGCATGCAAGGCAAGCGCTCTACCACTGAGCCACCTTCCTAGCCCTGTTAGTCTCTTGTAAAACTTACATACAACCAGTTGTATGTAACCAGTTCGCATGCATCCCAGGGAAATGGAAGTCAGGTTCACCCACAAATCTGTACATGAATATTATTTATTCATCATAGTCAAACTGGAATAACTCAGCTGTTCTTCAATGAATGAATGGTTAAACAACCTGTGATGGAGATATATCTATATCTATACCTATATAGATAAATATATCTATCTATATAGATATATCTATAGATGGCCATCTATAGATGGCCAGGAGATATATCTATATCTATATAGATACTACTTATCTATATAGATATAGATATATCTCCTGGCCATGGAATACCACTCATCAATAAAACAGAAGCAATGATTGATACAGCAAACTTCCATAAATCTCCAGATAATTATGATGAAGGGGATGTCTAAAGGTTACAAGCTATATAATTCCATTGGTTGTGGAATTCCAGAAATACTACAATTATAAAGATGGAGAGTGGATTTGTGGTTGCCAGGGGCTGGAGGTATGGGAGGGGATTGTCTATAAAAGGCCACCAGGAACCTGTGGAGATGGAATCTTCTGTATTTTGGCCGTCTCTGTGTCAGTATCTTGGCTGTGATACTGTGTTGTGAATTATGCTATTGGAGCAAACTGGATAAAGGGTAAATGGGGGTCTCTTGGCATTATTTCTTATAATTCCATGTGAATCCACAATTACTTTCCCAAATAAGGAACTAAAAAAACCCCAATAGTAAGCAGATCTTAAGTGGGTTTTTAAAAAGTGTGAGGGGAGGTGGGGCAGCGGGTGGACGTTGAAGGTGAATGGCAGTCTCAGCGGTTCTGGTCGCCCTCACAGCGGAGACTTCCCAGTACATCTGGGTCTATTCTGAGCATCAGCAGCCAGGAGGCTGGGCTGCTTGCTCTGTACCAGTCGGCACCCTCTCCTTCCTCCTTTTTTTTTTTTAACCAGGGATAGCAATGCAAAGTGGCAGAGTGAGTGGCCTTGCAGTTCCATACAACACTAAATCCTGTTTTCTTCTGGCCAGAATATTTCACCTAGAACAAGAATAACCCAAGAATGGTAGCAGATGGTCTGCTCAAACTCAGCGTCCTGTTTGGCCTGGTTTACTGGGCAGCGCCTGGGATCCCGGTGAAAGGGGGCTGGGCTCAGGAGGCAGGCCCCTGGCGGGTCAGATTTCCCACCCTGGCGCTGTGGGATCTATCCTGGGAGGCTCTCCGAGGTGCTGCAGGCCTGTCCCTGCCAGGTCCCCTTTGCAAAACAGATGCGGGAAGGGAGATTCACGGAAGCTAAGTCACTGGTGGCACAGCCAGGCTGGCAGGGAGCCCAAATCTGTTCTACTCTTTCCCTAGCGGAAGGACAGGGCTATGGCAGGCTTGGTCAGCTGCCTGCCAGCTGTGTGGCCTGGGGCGAATTCCTTGCCCTCTCTGGCAAAGATGACAATCAGTACCAGATCCCTCCAATCCACCCACTCCAGGTCCTCAATGCTACTTAGCCCCCACCCCTCACCCCCAGCTGCCTCGTGAAGTGGCAGGGGGTCGGAGGCCAGCCTGGGCACCCCCCTCCCCGCCCCCAGCTCTGAGCATCTTTGGCTACCATGAGGATCACTTTCCTCTCTGATCACAATCCCTCAGCCCAGGACTCCAGCGTCGCCTCTCTCTGCCCGGCCCACTGGCTCTCCCCTGGAGGAGGAAGCGCCATGCAGGTGCCCTGGTGCATCCACGAGCCTGAGTTTGGAGGTCTTCGCTATTCACGGGACCATTGCTCCATTAAGGTGAATGCGGGAATCACCTGAGCAATGTAAGCACAGCAGCTAGCATAGGCACGCAGGCGCAAGCGGGTCTGCCTCCGCTCTGCAGTTCTCAGGTTCAGAGGGTAAGAGCAGATTTCACACAAGCTGCTCTCTCATCCCCAAACATGTCATTTCATCCCACGGCAGCATTTTAAAGGGACAGTTAAAAAAATATGTTTCTTATTGTAAAAATAGTGTACAGAGGGGTTACAGTTACATGAGTAAGGTAATGAGTACATTTCCTATTGAGCATTGTTACCTCCTCCTTTGTTTTCCCCTTACCATCCCTTCCCTCCCCACCTCCCCAACTCCTCCCTCCCTCCCCTCCACGAGTCGTAATATACTATGTGATTTTTTGTTTCTTTGGTATGCTCCTCCCCCAGGATATAACCCCTGTTTTCACTGTATTGGATTCCGGTGCCCTGCATCTTGTATATACACTTTTCTAATTTGGGGAGGGGAAGGGAAAAAACAAAATGCTTAAATAGGGATACAGGTTGACCCATTGTAACAATGAGATGTACAAGATACTATGTTGAAAATGAACTTTAAAGGGCCATTTTTATGCCCAGCACCAGCAGCTCTCACCTGTAGGATTAGCTACTCAGAGAAACTGAGATCTGAGGATCACAGTTCAAAGCCAGCTCAAGCAAAAAAAAAAAAAAAGCCAATAAGACTTTATCACCTATTAATCAGCAAAAAAAACCAGAAATGGAGGTTGGCTCAAATAGTAGAGCATCAACTTTTAATGAAAAAGAAAACTAGGAAAGCATCCTGGCCCTTAGTTCAAGCCCCATTACCAGCACCAAAATAAAACAAACAACAAAAACAAACAACAAAGGTATTTAAAAATCTCTCTGGGATGTAGCTCAGTGGCAAAGCATTTGCCTAGCAAGTACAAAGTCCTGGACTCGATTCCCCTTACCAAAAAAAAAGAAAAAGAAAAAGTTAAAACAAACAACACCCCCCTCCCCCCTCCCGCCTCCCCCTCCCCAACAAACAAACGAACCTCCCTAAACTGGAACTCTGGCAGGAAGAGGAATGCACTAAGCTTACTGCTTAGTGAGCACAGCAAGCTGCAGAAAGGTTGGGGCAGTTCAGCTCAGCAAGAGTCTGTGCTGTGGGGGGGTGAAGGCTCCTGGGTCAGACCTGGGAGCCTGTTTTCCTCTGAGCTCTCCATCCTTTTGGAGAGAGCCAACATTTTGTTGCAACAGCAACTGTCCTCCTGCCTGTGACCGCTGTGGGGCAAGTACAGTGGAAAGAGCTCAGGGGAGCTTCATGGACCAGAAGCAAAGATGGGCTTGGAGGGCTTTTGCTGTCCTTCCAGCATTCCTACTGTGGGTAGAAGAAATGGGTGAGGCGGTAATTGCTTCCCACGGAGCTCCAACCCAGGCCTGCTCAGAGGGCATTATTATCCATCACTTGAGCCAACAGCCAGAGAGTGGGTTAAACACCAACAGAGAAACAGAAACTCACTCTTGGTGGCACAGAGTGGCAGTCCTGAAGCCAGAAGCAGAAATCCCAGGATGTGGTAGAGACATTCCATGCTGAGTCCTCACGGGCCAGGGCAATCAGGGCTCCACTTGTAACTCTTAGGAATCCATCCACCCTGAGCAACAGTGTTCTGGGCTCTGCTGTGCCCCACTCTTTATTTTAATGAAATACAGGGCCTCCGGACAGATCATGTGATGGTATTAAGCAGCATTGCCTGATCTGTTCTCTTGAATTCAACCTCTTGCAACTCATGTGCTTGTGACTCATAGGCCCTTGGCATCTATTATTCCATTTTCAGAGGCACGCTATTTTGACTTTGTAATCCCACATCTACTAGTTTTGAGGGAGCTGCTTTTCCTATGACTCTCTTTTAATACTCTTCACTAATTCTAATTTCAGTTCTCCAACTTCACTGGGATGAATACAATGAATCCTTCACCAGTACCATCTCCAGCTCGTGCATCTTTTAAAGAATTAAGATAACAAGCTCACTGTGCTGGTCCATGCTGTACATCACTTTTCCCCAAGAGGAGATAGCTGTGGAGGTGTCCTTCCAGCCATTGGTAATCATGTTATACATTTGTGGATAAACACATACCTGTGTGCTGGGTGCTGGGGGCTCACACCTCTAAATCCTAGCTACTTGGGAGGCTGAGATCTGAGGATAGCAGTTTAAAACCAACCAGGGCAGCATCATTGATTTCTCCCTTTCTCTCTCTCTCTCTCACAGTCGGATTGATTCCAAAGAACTAAAAATCAGGTAATTTGTTTCTTGGTAATCAGCAGTAGATAATGTGTAGTACTTAGGGATAGGGATATTTGGAAGAAAGTACACTTATACTTCAAAGCTGTTTTATTTATTTTTATTGAGTTAACTTGTATCAATATGAGGGGTTTCACTGTGATATTTCCATATATATACACATAGTGCATTTGGAACAAAATCACTCCTCCACTCTATCCCCATTAGTCTCTCTCTCTCTCTCTCCAGTACCTGTACTGGGTCTTGAACTCAGGGCTTGAGTGCTGTCCCTTAGGATTATTTTTTGCTCAAGGCTGGCACTCTACCACTTGAGCCATAGCTCCATTTCCCTTTGCCCTTTTCAAATAGTGTTGGTGGGCTTCCTAATGTTGCATACATATACACACGCTCATATGCACTATGCCCCCATCGCCTCCTCAACTGTCCCTTTTGCATTCATGTCTCATTACCCATTTTAGGGATATACTTCCTAAATGGGCAAGAATAGTTGTTTTATTTTCGCAAAATAAAAATAAATCACACTGTGAAAATCGTTTGAAATGAGAAGGCAATTGTGTTGGTATAGACACAATTGCTTTATTTTAAAGATGACATTGAGGAAGGCAAGTAATGTCAAGTTTTGAGAGAGGTCTCTAATGATCTCTAATGATCTTCGTTGCTGTCACCCTTCCGATGGCTGCAGTTCTGGCTTGAGGAGCAAGCGAGTACCTGCGATTTGGTGTCTGTAACAGCCATGTAGGAAGGACATGTGGAGTGATAGGCAATTACCACACTCCACAGTGGAGCCACAGTGGGCTAAAGCCAAACTAACTTTTTCCCTCTTTTGTACTGGGGTTTGAACTTGCGTGCCTCATGCTATCTCAGCTTGTTATTCAGCTGGTATTCTACCACTTGAGCCACACCCAGCCCTGCTTTTTGCTGATTATTTTGGAAATGGTATGTCAAGGACTTTTCTGCCCAGGCTGCCTTCAAATGCAATCTTCCAGATCTTAGCCTTCAGAGTAGCTAGGATTATAGGCATGAGCCACAGACCCCCAGCTTGCAAATTTTTAAATCTAGAAATTACTCAGTTCATATTGATGATTCTGTGAGATCATAAAAGTGAGTTAAGGTCCTTACCTTAGGGCCTCCCCAACTCTTGTAAACAGATACTGTTTACAATATTTGTTCTCTACTGCTATTACAACAACTTATTAGAAGTTTGGAGGCATAAAACTGTCCTGAAAGTCAGAAGTCTGAAATGGAGCCAAGCATTGGTGCTTCATACCTATAATCCAAGCTAGTCAGGAGGCTGAGATCTGGAGGACTGGAGCTTGAAGCCAGCCTGGGCAGAAAAATCTGAGTGACTCTTATCCCCAATTGACTAGAAAACAACCACAAGTGAAAGTGTGGCAAAAGGGGTATATCACTAACATTGAGTGGAAAAAAACTAAGCAGGAGTGTGAGGCCCTGAGTTCAAGCCTCACAATTGGTGCACGAAGTCTAAAATGAGTGGCGCTGAACTAAAACCACAGCTTCAGTGAAGAGGGTACCCTTCACTTTCCAGTGTTTAGGAGCTCCCCTCAATCCCTGACTTTCTTTCCTCCTCTTATCTGCAAAGCAGCAGTGGCGAGGGGCCTGTCTCATGTCTTATTCTTCTCACTTCAGTTCTCTGGTCTCCCTGGCTGATTTGCAGGATTCTGGTGACCATAATCTAGAACCATCTCATCTTAAAGGTCAGTTGATTACCCATTCTCTCTCTCTCTTTTTTTGCCAATTCTGGGATTTGAACTCAGGGCCTGGGCACTGTCCCTGAGTTTTTGTGCTCAAGGCTAGTTCCACAGTTCTACTTTGGGCTTTCTAAGAGTCTTATGGACTTTCCTTCCCAGGTTGGCTTTGAACTGTGACCCTAAGATCTCAGCTTCCTGAGTAGCTAGGATTACAGATATGAGCCATAGCCACCCAGCTAATTACCCACTTTTAATACATCTACAACCCAGTTCCAACTTGCAATAACACACACTCACAGGTCCTGTGGGTTAGTGGCAGACATCTTTCTGCAAGGCAGAGTCACCAGCAGGTGACCTGTCAACAATCTATAAAGAAAGGTGAGTGGTGGGAACAGCAGCGGGAAGCAGCTCGCAAAGCTTTCAGACCTGTTGAAACACAGCCCTCTACATCTGGCAGAGTAGGAAAGCAAGAATAAACTTCAGATAAAGAGATCAGTTCAAAGAGAGAGGCCGTCCATGTGACTGCCTTGCCCTAACATGGGCTTATTTAAAGTGTCATAATCAGAGTCACGGCTTTCTGATTTAAGCATCAGCAAATGACTCAGAGACTTCTGTTGTAAGTCCACCTCTTCACTCTCTCCAGTCTAGATGCTCTTTGCACGAATGACTTATTAACCTTCCTAGTTACCAAGATTTACTAAGCTTTGAACTCATTCTCTTACTTCAGGATGGTCCCTTCACTTTCCAGGAAAAGTAGAGAAACAGATCACAAAGATTCTGGCATCCTTTGCACTCACCTCCCCCATTATTTTAGCCTGATTCCCCCCCGCAACAATGTTGGCAGAGATATTTTCTTCTTAGATCTTTGGCAGCTTTTGGGGGGACATAATTATTCTTTCTCATGGAGTTTTTGACCTCACTTGAAATTAGAAAGAGCTGCCAGAAGTGTGGCTGAAGCAGTAGAGCACTAGCCTTGAGCACAAAAGCTGAGGGATAGTGCCTGGCCCTGAGTTCAAGCACCAGACACTGGCACAATAAATAAATAATAAATATATAATTATAAAAAAGAAACTAGAAAGAGCCAAATGTATATAGGTATGTGGATTACCATACTAATATTTATGTACTAGTTTTAAAGTACTTTCTCGGAATTATCAGTGTAGGAAGAATCAGATATGGGCACTTAGTGTGCACATGTGGTGCTGGGGATAGAATCCTGGGTTTCATGGGTCTAAGTAAGCACTCTATTGCTGAGCTGTACTCTGCTGCCCTGCTGTGAGCTGTGCGAGCTGAGGTGAATGCATGCTTCTGAACCATTTGTACCTAGAGATGAGTGGGATTCAGGAAAGAGATGCAGACTAGGCTCTATGAGGGAGACAAGGGAAGGAGCAAAACAGGAACGGAAATGTAAACATGGCTTTCAACTGTAAGATTACTGTGGATGATCCCCAACATGTATCAGAACAAGGGTGAGGGTCTCCACTCATTCACTGGCGATCAATGATAAGCCTAAGAGCGGCACAGCTGGACTAGAAATCAAAAGGAGGCTTGCTGTGGAAGGAAGGCCAGGAAACTGTAGACTGGACAGCATTTTGGTCCTTTCTTCACACCTAATGGGATTTCTTTTTTGAACTCAGTAGATGCTGTGAAGCTATCACCTTTCTGTGATAGCTATTATTTGATGATATATGAACAAAAAAATCTAAAAGCATAGTCTTATAGGAAGAGTAAGACATCACCCCTAAAATAGGTCATAATATGAGACAGTATGGGAAGTTTCACGGTGGAACAGCCCAAACATGCACAAAAATAGAGAGGATAAGAGGCTGGCTTCAAAGCCCAGTCCTCAGACCTTAGTCTCTGGAGTAGCTAGGATTACAGGCAGGAAACACCAGCACTGGGATAGAATGGAGCCATTTCTAAAGTAAGGGGGTAAAACAAGACTGTATACTCTTCCTCATGCAGGTGATAGGGATGTAGAAGTTCTTCATGATTCCTCTCTATTAAAACTCCTGCAACTGGGCGCTGGTGGCTCACACCTGTAATCCTAGCTACTCAGGAGGTTGAGATCTGAGGATCAAGGTTCAAAGCCAGCCTGGACAGGAAAGTTGATAAGACTCTTATCTTCAATAAACTACCAGAAAATCTGAAGTGGCTCTGTGGCTCAAGTGGTAGAGCACTAGCCTTGAACTGAAGAGCTGAAGGACCAGGCCCAGGCCCAGAGTTCAAGTCCCACAACCGACATAAAAAACCAACCAAACAAACAAACAAGTAAAAAACTCCTGCAGCCACTTTTAGGAAAGGGAAAATAGGGGGTTGGAAGAATACAATGGAGGGGATGAATTTATTCAAGCTATACTGCATGTATTTATGCAATGATTACAATGAAATCCTCTTGCACTATTTTTGTTAATGTGTGCCAGTACTGGGGCTTGAACTCGGGGCCTCATACTGTTAGTTGGCTTTTTCATTCAAGGCTGGTGCTCCATCACTGGAGCCATGCTTCCACTTCCAGCTTTTTGCTGGGTAATTAGAAATAAGAGTCTGATGGACTTACTGCCTGGACAGGCTTTGCACCATTAGCTTCAGATCTCAGATTCCTGAGCAGTTAGGATTACGAGTATGAGCCACGGGAACCTAGCCTCTTCTTGCACTATTGACAGAC